TGTTATAATTTGTTGTAATGAGAGCTACTTTTTTATCTAAATGTTGTTAATCTTCATATAAAATGTATAAGTACAATTTTTTATTAGCATATGATTTTGAGTGCAATCATGTAGATGTGATTTTTACAAATATTAGAAATATTTTATATCATAAAAACCGTTTTTTATTTGACTGTACTTCCTCGACATGAAAAAATAAGGTAGGAACTTAGATCATATTTTTGGTCAGAACTTACCACTTAAAATAATCATTAAACATAGGTGTCATTCGGGACCACTACCGCCGGTCCCGAATGCCGCCTCAAAATAATTTATTAATTCCATGTCCCCATCAGGACCAGTGGTCCCGGTCCCAAATGACTACCGACTCGTATTTTCAATAAGGCAATAACTCTTTACATGAGCTAATTGTTTTGATTTTTTTAAAGAAACAGGCATTTGATGTTTTCTTTAATCTTTATGAATTATCCTTGATTGTTTTACGGTACTTACAATAGTCACAAGTAAATAAATTTATACAAATACTAGCGGACCCGACAGACGTTGTCCTGTCTACACGTCTTTGTGAATCTAAACCATTCTCAGATCCCCTTGAACACACACAAAAAATTTCATCAAAATCGGTCCAGTCGTTTAAGAGAAGTTCAGTGACATACACACTCACAGAAGAATTATATATATAAAGATTATAAAGCGGAAAGATTTTTTGTGTGTTTGTATTGAATAGGCTACTGGAAGGATTTGAAAAATTATTTCACGTTTAGAATCCCAAACTATCCCTGATGAACATAGGCGATAGATTATTTTCAAAACATGTGAAAAAAAAACTTATTTATTGCGTACGCTGCGGAAATTATTGACAATAAAGGTAGGGACAAACAGGAGCCCACGTACGCAACGTATTATGACATCTCTACTACGAAATTTGTATGGAAACATATGACTTGGAAACACATGTTTTCATACAAATTTCTTAGTTTAGTTGTCACAATGCATAGCATACGTTGCGTAAGTGCGCTCAATTTGTCCCTAACTTAAAGAAAGTGATGTACTACAGTTACTTTTATAGAAGACATCAATATATACAAAAAACGTCGAGAAAAACCATATGTCTTATGGCAGGCATGCCGCAATAACTACTTTTTCGTGTTAAAGTATGCAATAGTAACTCCCGGTACGACCCAGGCAACATTATTCGTACTTAGGTTTTAATCCTAATCCAAATTAATCAATTCGTTTTCAAGGCTACATCAACTTTATGAATTATATTATTCCCAAGTTCCATACCATACAAAGGTTATCATGAGTGTTTTAACTTTCAAAACCACCAATTACATTAGCCATGTAAACTATTTATTAAATGAGTTTTTATCTGTAAAACTTATAAATAAATGTGACTTCGACATCCTACATTATATTATTTAAAGGATAATTAAAAAGCTTAACAGTGGGGTATTTCCATTGTAACGCGTGCGACACTGATACTGCGTTTTATCAAGATATTAAAGTGTTTGTCAAATTACGTTTATAAAGAAAAGAATAGTATGAAAAATAAGATATTTAACTCAAACAAGTTCTGTATAGAAACTGACAACAATGTCATGAATCGCGTAACGGATGTGACCTTAAAAAATCGCCAACTGCGACCAAGATGACTTTATGTTAAACACTTGTCAAATTTTCGATGATAGTATACAGGAGGATTCTTCTATGTAAAACTTGAATAGTTTTCTCAAATAACTACGTTATTCGAAATGTACAAACATGTATAATGTACTTTATATATTTTTTTTGAAAATGTAACGGGTACGACAGGCCTTTATTGGCCTTTATATTTTGAGAGTATGATTATTTAGAACTCCTGATATGGTTTTTGTTTTAGTTAATAACACAATTGATTTTTTATCACAGTAGGGTAGTTTCATGGAAATACCCAGCGGTGAAGCGCGTAGCGTAGTATCCAGTAGTTACATATCTATTACTATTGTTATGTAATCCGTGGTAGTACCTAGTAGCAGTATAGGAGAAGTGTACAATTACATTGTGGTTAACCGATCGTCACGTCACGGGTCATAGTTTCAATTTCCTTGTTGATTTGCATGCAGTCGAAACAAACATTTATGTTATTTATGAATGATAACTGATATTGTTGGACACTCACTAATTATTAGACTAAACACTTTTTCAATCTTTTTACGGACGGATAGAGATCAAACTTCGAATGTTTACTAATTGCAGACGCTTATCTAGTTGTAATATCACAGTATTTTAAAATCAACTTGAACATAAATAAAGCATTAAGCATACAATTAATATAAATGATATACATACATTCAATAAATTAATCATGAGCAATCAGACAGATAACTCCCAGCCAACAGCAAAAATAACAATTATAGTAGAGTAGTGACTCAAAACAAAGATTTTATAACAAACATTTCATTCATCTAATCATCTGCACCTTGTGATGTAAGGCCGTATACAGAAAGAAAGCCGAAAGCCGATCGGCGCCGATCCTTCCTACATAAAGGAAGCCGATTAAAGCAGATCAAGCAAAATGTAGGACTCATCGGACGATGATTTGGTTTTGTTAGAAAATATTTATTTAAAAATGCGAAAAACAGCTATACATCCTATAAATAGAGAAAGGAAACGTTTCGGAGAATACCATCATTTATTTGTAAAAAAAATTAAATTTGATGAACAAAGATTTTATACATATACAAGAATGATTCAAGAAACATTTTATTACATTTTGGATTTAGTGAAAAACCGTTTGATGAAAAATTGGGGCAATTGGCATAAACAACCAATCCTTCCAGAAGAAAGACTTGTTGTCACCATTCGGTAAGTACGAAACAAATATTTTTAGCGCTTAGTTAATAAAATATAAAATATAAAAAGATTATAACTTAGATTGATTTAATCTAAGGATAATAATTCAAATACAAATTATTTATTATTCGGACCAGCGCGTGTCGGCGCTTATCGGCGCCGATCGGCGCCGGTCCATAGAAAAAGGATCAGCGTCAATAGGCGCCGATAAGCGCCGATCGGCGCTGATCGGCGCCGATCGGCTTTCGGCTTTCTTTCTGTATACGGCCTAAGTATCTCTAAGATACGTAAGCCACTTCATAGAAAAGGGAAGCTGCAAAATCTAAATCAATGTTTTCGTGACCCTTCCTAAACTTTTTTTTCCCGAAACCTACTCTAACATACAACAAAAACAATTGGCCAAAGGTCAAGGCTGTCTCAGAAGATATTCTTTTCTGCACGCATGTAGTTATTCATTTAAAATACAGCAGCATAATTTTATATAACAGGAACTCGGTAACAGCATCACAAAAGCCGGATACGTGCCTTATAAACACAACAGCGTTTAAAGAAAGCTTCAAAGACAATATAGTGCTTCCAAACATAGACCTTTCATTTACATAATGAATAAGATGTTAGATCAATAGGGTTGCCTACCGCTTCTTCTGCATTTATGAATCTCGCACCGCACGTGTAAAACACTCAAGAAAATGTTCTTATATGAGATATTTCTAGGAGATTCAGAATACGCTGAGGAGATTGGCGGTGAAAAACTTTTGACCAATCAGCAGGAATCGAAGGGCGTAGAGGTACAGTACAACTCAAGTTATAAAAAATGTACAGAGAAAATAATTTTGACGATTTAGAAGATTTGCGTCTTTTATTTTGAGATACTTTGAATTTAATTGAATTTTGATGGTGAGTGCAAGCTAATCAATACAAAAAATACGTGGTATTTGCAATTAGTAAAGTTTTGCACATATTGTATGCCTGATTTTTGCGGATTTTGGTAAAACTTCTGCAGACGTACGCTCTAAAATGACATCATACAAAAGGAAACGGACTTCAGACATTTCCTTATTAACCTAAACGAATAAATTGCATATAAGCAATAAAAAAATGCTCTGATTGACAAGTCTGAAAATTACCATTATCATCTAGAGCAGTGGTTCTTAACCTTTTAGTGATGAGATTTCCACTTGCAATTTTCAAGCCCCAAGAATTAGTAAATATGGTTAACTAACGAATATCTCTTTAAATGGATATTGCTGCCCCGGGTCATGGCCAAAGTTGCTTGAATAACCATAGGTGAACCTAAATAGAAATCAATCATGAATTCTGAAAACAGTCCAGTTATCGCACTCCGCTCCGGCCGGTGGCCGCCAACGTACACGGAAACGAGTACACAATGTTACTGGGGCATTTCCAGCTATTCAATGGTCAATGTCATAATAGCATTGTCATGAATGATATCGTCGCGAGTGGGCGAAAATGAAGACGTGTCACTCACTTTGGAGATACATATCTTTAGAAACAAAAATACATAGAATAAACAACTTATCTAGGTGATAACAAAGTTGCACCGGGTACGTAAACATCACCACCAGGTAATTGACTCATAGTTATGTTAAACAGAATCTAAACAGTTAGAGACGGAACTTCCAAAACTAAACAGATTCGCGGTTTATACCAAACAATTTTAAACACTTCTTATATTCCTACCTGTATAAATACATTTTGGTACACAAAAGTGAACTTTTTGCTAGACAAGACTGCGAATATTAAATTGCAGTTATTGTGATTTTTTTCGACACAAACAATATTTGAGTGCGTTTGAGCATAATCGCACCTAATGTTAAGGAAGGAAATGGTCTAAGCTGGGCCACGCACTAAAATCAACATCATCATCTCAGCCGTACGACGCTCACTACTAAGCATAGGCCTCCCCCAAGGATCTTCACACTGATCGGACTCGCATCCAGCGGCTTCCCACGACCTTCACAATACCGTCCGTCCATCTGGTGTGGGGTCTGCCCACTGAATGTCGTCCGGTGCACACTCAAATAATACCTATTTATTAATTCTTGAATCATGTCTTGTGTTATATTAGATGCTCACCGTCAGCTAGTCATCAACTTAGTAATGAAATCCCCATTCAATCAGCAGGACATGTTTGCGGCACTAACCTCGTCTGCCGGCTTGGTGGGTGTGATGGCGACGGTCTCGTTGAAACAGAGGCAAGCGCAGTAGTGCCTGTTGGCATCCACATCTGTCAGCACGGACACGTAGAAGCGGGGCTCCGAACGCTCCGTCGAGAGCGCCCATCCTTGTGGCTGGCAAAACTGTGTGACACAAACAAGTAAAAGATTGAAAGATAGCGAAAATAGGCGAAATAGTGATAGTTTTTGTGAGAAAGGAAATGAAAGAAAAATCAAAACAAGAGTCTTTATAATTTTATAAATCTTTGTTACACAATCACGCAAAAACTAATATTTTTCTTATTTTGGACGAAATTTGGTATGTACGCATATAGTTTATGACCTGGATTGAGACACGATACTTGTGGAGCTGGCGAACAAAACGGTATAATTACACATCTGGTCAAACTACTTTTTTTTTACATTCCGGAGGTTTCGGACTCGTTAAATTTGAATCTCAAATAATTTTCAATCAAAACCACCTAAAACAGTGTTAAAATTACCAAATTTATATATTAAAAACTATGCCAAAAGCTCACTGTAGGTATGTTATTCAGTTTTATACAGCTCCTGAAAAATTTAATTTTATGTAATTATACCGTTTTGTTCGCCAGCTCCTCACTTTTAACCCCGGAAAAATGTTATGTTCCTGTAGTATTCTCAAAAAACCAATGTTGCGTAGATGAAGTCGCTGGCGGTCGCTTGTAGGGTAATAAGTATGATTTGACTACATTTCGATTAAATATTCCTTGTATCAAAACATGATATTTGTTTTATAACAATTTAAATAAAAAAAATACAGCAACAAATTCAAAATTTAATTCAATATTCATTTATTTAGTTTAGGCTTTTACAAGCACCCGTGAAAGTTAAAAAATATACAAAAGCCCTGAAATATCCAGCAAACCATTTTCAAAATACATGAGCATGTTTAAAAAAGAATAAGTGGAAGGATCTCTTCAAGACTCCTCTTGAGGAGATAAGTTTAATATAACTTTGAAAAAATTCTAAAGGTAACAATTACGACATAATCATTTAATTTTATTAGTGTAACAGTACAATATCCTTTCTTAAGCAAGTAATTCTTAATGTGTATTTTAAATTAATTTAGGGGCAAATTCAAGAATATCACTAGGAATCTTATTATAGAAATGTATACCTTGCCCCATAAATTATCGATGAACTTTATGTAACCTGAACAATGGTAACTTAAGTTTGTTTTTATTCCTAGTATTAAAAGTATGTACGGCACTGTGTTTGAGATAAAAAACAACGATCACTAACAATCCATATATAACATTATAAAATGTTGGTTGTGTTTTGATAATGATTATGTAAACTATGAATTAAATGATAATAACGATAAAAAATCTTTCTTCAGCATGATCAGATACAAGACGATATGTAAAAAAGAATATTTCCGAATCAATTATCACTATGAATCATTCATTCATGTTGAAGCACATTTATCACCGGATTGATAAACTCATAACCATTTTTACGCCAATGTTAACATATTTAAGTAAAGTAATACAAATTATGAAGGAATTTATACAACAGGCTAGTGTATATATGTCGGAGAATTATTTGATAAATCGACTTTCGATAAAATCTAACTTACTATCAGCGTTTTCGCAAAATACCTAAATTTTGCGAAAACGCGGATAGTTAGACAATGGCGATGACATTGCGCCATCTTTCTGTAACCAAAATCTTGCGAGCGTGCCACGGCAGCGCACATACCCAATGTGAACCTAAAACCCCAAGAATACTAATAAGCCAACGATTCTTTTCTCTTACTGAGGCGATTCGCTTTTTCGCATAAATCCTATCTTGTTTCAGTCAGATTAAGAAATGTCATCGCCATTGTCTAATTTATCCGCGTTTTCGCAAAATCCCTAGGATTTTCGCGAAATTCGATGTATCAAATCATCCTACGACGTAATTTACACTAACGTAAAGCACTTGTATAGGTACTTCAGTATTTTCTTTTATTGATACCTTAGCAATCAATGGCAAATGACCCTAAACCTGTCATCGAGTGGCTCTTTTCGTATTCCTCTGGCTCCGTGGAGATGGAGAATACTTCTTCAGCCGGGCACTGCCAACCAGAGGCGTCTTTACCTATGGTGCAGAGTGTGCGTTGCAAACGGGCGCAAAGTCCTAGGGGTTGCCGAGCGCCGACGCCGCTCGCTACGAAGCCCCACTTGCCGCACACGACGGCCGTGTGACTTCTTCAAATTTAATTTCCAAACAATAGAATTTATTATTCATTTTTGAAATTTGATAGTTTGCTGTAATTTGATGTGTTTTTACTTGTACTTTGTACCCATTCCATTGTGACCACACGCTTGCGCTACGATAATTTTGCACACGGGCGCCACATGGGCTAGAGACGCCTCTGCTGCCAACTCCGCTATGGAAATGGGTTAAACTCACTTTTGTCGGGGCGTTAAACGAAGACCTGCGACGAGGATAGCAAAACGGTTCACAGCAGTTATGGCAAGCCAAAGAGATTTTAACCTCGTATGCTTTGGCATTTACCAAGAAGGCTGACAAATTAGGTATTCTTTGAAGTTCCACTGCAGCCAACTTATTTAGACCAGGGGGATGATCCAAATATCGATTTAAAATCCTCTCCGCGAAAAAGGGAAAATCTTACCCATTCTATTCCGTCGTGAAATGGAGTGTCGTCCCAGTTGGTCTCCGGGAACCGTTGAAGTATAATGCCGTTGCTCAGGCCGCCCCCTGCGAATAAAACAGATCTTTTAATTATGCAATAATCTAACCCCACTCTACCAAAGCAAGCTTGTTGATAAAGATTCACATTATGGACAATGTAACGCATCGTAGGCTGTGATAAAAATTTACAATAAGTTGTTGCTTACAATATAAGCAGTTTTTAATATTCATGTAATAAGTTCATTATTGAAAAGATGAAGCTGAAACTAGCAGCTGTTATAGCAGACACATCCAGCAGCTGGACCGTCACAAAACATACGGTAAACGTATTTCTGGAAACTGTTTTGGTTTTTCTTATTGAAGTGAAAACTTCTTTAGTATCGTTGTGAGTTCAGATTCTATGAAACGCAAGTAGAGTATTTGACACAAGATAGGTATCCGTAATTTTATCATTTACTACAAGAGACAGATGGCCGTACCGTGACGGTCTTGGGGTTGACAACAAATGATCGGTGGATCGATCCTGAGCACGGTTAATTTTTTAATTGATTTAATCGTTTTTTTTTCTTTTATTAAGCTATTATTTATTTTTCAAAACAATTTATGTATATAATATTTAATTTTGACCTAGAGAGTTGAATTTTAACACAGGTTTAACTTTCGTACTTACTTTAACACTTCTTTAAGACGTACCTACCTAGTCATTAAGGACTTTTACGTGTTCACATTTTTGTAGGTTTCACTTCTATCGCATATGAACAGCACATGTCCGCCTTTCTTTAAAAGTAGAAGAAAGTAATTAAATAAGTTGTTTCACGGTATCTACCGCCATTTTAATGGATCTCCAGGTGAAATTTGTGAAAAAAGACGATTTTGTGTCTGCTAGTTTCAGCTTCATGTTGAAAGACCGTCAACTCAAAACATGATAAATTCAAGTTTAATATCTGAATATCCTTAACCCCCTTATTAATAAACGAAAGATGGGTGGTGCTGGTGGATGTATGGGATAACGCAGTGTTTTGTTTAAAGCCGCAACAGGCAGACATTGTAGCAGATACATCCAGCTGCGGGATCCTCACAAAACAGACGGTAAGTGTAGATATTTCTGGAAACGGTTTTGTTTTTTTTATTTATTTAAAACAAAAAGAAAAGTAATAAAATTGTTTGCACTGCTGGGTGTGTCTCTAGTTCCAGCTTCATTAGAACTTGGTGCAGAGCACCACGACTTTGGTACGCTCCGGACCTTATTTGGTAGTGTGGAAGCTGGTGTGCGTGCTGCACATTATTAATAGGTTGAGCCGGTTCGAGGGGATTCGTGTCGAACTGGAACTCTAAGCACTCATTTAATTTGTATTATCTATACTTATAATAAATCTGTAGAGAGGTCAATTCTGTACATGAAATATATTTTCAAAATAACTATCAGGGGGTGTTTAGTGATCGATACTGATGCCAAAAATGCAATCAGTAAAATTTTTGTCTGTCTGTCTGTCTGTCTGTCTGTCTGTCTGTGTGTATGTTCCTTATAGAAACAAAAACTACTCGACGGATTTTAACGAAACTTGGTACAATTATTCTTCATACTCCTGGGCAGGTTATAGTATACTTTTCATCACGCTACAATCAATAGCAGCAGAGTAGTGAAGGGAAATGTTGGGAAAACGGGAGAAGTTACTCCATTTTTTAAGCTTCCGTCGCGTGTGGAGCCTTAATGGTTAAAGTTACATAGAAATCATGTATGACGGAAATATTTTACATAAAATTGTCCATAAAATATCCCGCAATAGCATATGTCTATCTTTTATGGTTGACTCACAATAACATGTGTAACTCCTGATAGCTTAGCAGTTCGGAGCATTCTGATTATATTTGTTTACTCTTACGTTTATAATACTCTCACTCATCCCTAATTTAAAAAAGTTAACATTATCACCTATTCAATAAAAAAAGAATCATAGAAATCGGTATAGAAACACCAAACTTATACATGAAATAAGCCATCGCGCCGTCGCACGTTAATACTGAATCATGCTTTGAGGATTATTTTTGTGTAACGGCTGCCACGCTCGACACGGGTCGTGGCGGCGCGGTAGGGTATAAAAAGGCGGGAGGTCCGAAAGCGAGCTTCCCCGCCCCCCCCGATCCTGAGAGTCCTTCAGTCGCTCAGTCCCAAACCGATACGGATGCACATCAGGGTGCATCCGTCCTCTAAGCGCACTATGCAGTAGTATTTACTAAGGCAGCTCTGCATCATCCCCTTCTCAGGGGTTGATCGCATCAGATGAAGCCTGTAAGGCCCCTAAGGCCATAGGCACCCCCCACGGGTGTGTTTTAGTCAGTAAGAGTCTGACATAACTCTACAGCCGGCTGTAGGGTATCCATGAGGATTTCACACCCGCTCCCCCGCCTGGGAGGAAACAAAAAAAATGAAAGCGTGTCATTCAATATTTGGCTGTTGATGCGTTCAGAGCGTTCGACCTTATTGACAGACAATAATTGATATTGAGAAACCGTGCTTATCTTAGAATAAAAACCAAACATTTGTAAACAAAATTAGCAAATAAATCATGTAAAACGTGTAGAAAATGAGTATTGGAAAACGGAAATATGAGAATTTTAGTTTGGTTATAAATACAGTAATAAAAATGACCGTTATTATCTATATATGTATATAAAAGTTAAAGGTGACTGACTGACATAGTGATTTATCAACACACAGCCCAAACTACTGGACGGATCGGGCTGAAATTTGGCATGCAGGTAGATGTTATGACGTAGGCATCCGCTAAGAAAGGATTTTGATCAATTCTACCCCCAAGGGGATAAAATAGGGAATGAAAGTTTGTATGAAACTTTGTCAATTTTAAACCGATCGGGCTGAGACTTTGCACGCAGGTATAAGAAGAATCATAGATGAATGTCATTGTGTATAATACAAGCCTGACAACAAAAACTGTAGTCTATACTTCAGCTCTACACCGAAGCGAAGCGAGGGCGGACCGCTAGTTAACAATAAAGATATGAAATGTGGTAGCGATAGTAGCACATGTTGGCTTGGTCGAAATGCAAACTATTTTACTTTTTTCCAGTTTAACTGCAGTTATGTATTTTTACTGATATACATGCAATTAATAAATTGAATTAATAAATTTATATATATATATTATACAGGGCGTCCCACGGCTACCTCACACGGAAGGAAAGTATATTAAATAATGAAGATAGGATATTTTACTGAAAGAAGACATCATTTTATTTTTAATAATAACTAGAACTGCATTCACAGATTTTTAAAAATCCCCTGCTACAACTGGGAATCAAACTCGTGAAAGGAGAATGCCCATTTAGTAAGGAGACTTGGGCCCCTTTGAAAAATAGTTGTGCCCTGAAGTTTGTTGTTGGAGGTTGTAGGAAAAATACGCTATATTCACATTCAAAAGGAATTTCCAATTTAGTCACCCTGGTTCACGAGATATAATTTATTTTCTGTTGTGGAAATTGAGGTTATAAAATAGCTTGACATTAACATTTTCTCCATGCTTTTCTTAACTAGGTCCTATCTACATCACTATATTGATATAAACTTGCATAATATATTACAATGTATAAAAGCACAATAATGTTTCAGTGAGCTATCAGGCAGCCGGTCAGGGCCGAAGCTAGGTGGTGGTGGTGCATTATGGGCTTTAGGGGGCAATGCCAATACCAAAACCCTACCTTAAAAAATAGCATCGACTTAATACGATTGAACTAATTCGGGGGGGAGGGAGGGGTAATCCTGCTTATGCCATTGAGTAACTCGAATGACAAAAATCATTTGAGTACCAATGAAGATAAAAATCGAGTGATTTTCTACCATATTTATGTCTCTTACCGGTACATTGCAATTTACTATTTATATAATCTGATAAAAATCCGAATTTACTTTCAGCGAACATCACGACTTTAATATCGACGATTAATCAATTAAGTTTATTAATACCTGGCAACATTATACCCATCGAGAAATACGTCACCAACCAAGCCATAAATATAAAAAAAAATATGTCAAGCGGAAATTGGGCAAATATCTAATTAATTATAACTTAATACCCAGGGTGAAAAAAATTACGATATAAATGTCACCAGCATCAAAATATAAATTCGATTTTTAGGTACATATTTGGATGAGGCACAAGAAACCTCAAAAGGGGCCCATGATTGGGCATTCTCCTTTCGAAAAAATAAACACAACATATTTTATGATAACCATCGAAAGGGTAAATCATAAGGATTATTTTTTGCAAAATACCATAGCATTTTAAATGAAAGAAAAGTAATTTAATTTAACACTTTATTTAAAATTATTTAACACAAAGTAATATAAAATAGGATACGCCTCAAAGTAAGTTAAAACGTTGAGTTCACCATCATTGACGTTTATCATCCGCTGCGCATATGAAAACGTCATAAATTTCTTAAAGTATCCACTAACCTTTTAAACACATATCGAGAAGGTACGTCTCTATCAGGGTATCTTTCGCGGTACCACCGCAAAGCTAATATGTCTTTGTGGTTCATAAAGTAAGCTTCCATTAAATCAATTTTATTTAATACCCCATGGTAAGTAAATTAACAAAAAATTGCAAAAAAAGAAACGAAAATGAAACTTACAAAAAACAAAAGAACAGACGCTTGAAAATTTATGTGTTCCATTTTTAATTTTTTTTTTACACATTTCAGCCAACAACATTGTAACTGTAAGTTCAAAAAGAAATGCATACGTACTACAGTTCGTGTATCACTTTATTGTTTTTATCACGTAATAAGACATTCCTTTCATTTAAAATGCTATGTTATTTAGCAAAAAATAATACTTATGATTTAGCCTTTCGATGGTTATCATAAAATATGTTGTGTTTATTTTTTCGAAATTTCACGAATATGATTCCCAGTTGTAACAGACGATTTTAAAAAAATCTGTGAATGCAGTTCCGAGTTATTATTAAAAATAAAACGATGTCTCCTTTCAGTAAAATATCCTATCTTCAATATTTTATATACTTTCCCTCCATGTGAGGTAGCCG